CAGAAAGTGAGAAGGAAAAATACAGAATATACAGAGAGAATAGAGAAAGGGGGAGAGAGACACAGGAAGAGGGACAGACGGAGTAATGGAAAATCACTGATGCCCCCCAACATTGTCTTTGACACTTTGTGTTCTTCTTTCACTGGATAAGAAGGGAAATGACAGAGGGATACCCAGCAAGACAGAGAGAAGACATTACAAGAAATGAATATATAGGCAGAAAGGAGCCCAGCACTCCGCACACGTTGTCAGCTCCTCCGCACGTCTGTCCGGCAGTGTTGGCTCGCCCTGCCCCCACAGGCCGGTGGTGGAACTGCAGGCAGAGTTCCGTACTCGCAGCACTCTGTATGAAGCTGAGCTCAGAGCTCCGTCTCTCCATCCTCGGGACCATGTTCTGCTAGAAGACCCCCTCCAAACACCGGAGCAGTCCCTTCTCCCGCCAGGATGGAAAAGGACAGCTTTCTCCTCTGCCTCTTCAGAGTCTTCCTTTTATGCCTGGTAGCCCGGAGTGATGGTGCCAGCAACAGGAGACCCGTCTTCTCTGGGTCAGTACAAGAGAACCGACCAGCAGGTACCAAAGTGAACGGGCTGACCGTGCACCTGAACCGGCTGAGCCCGGAGCCCTGGTGCTCCAAGGTGGCAGGCAGGAGGTGGCACCTGCAGCTTCTGGGGGAAGACGACTCTCACTTTGAGCTCTATTTCCACCACAGGTATGCTCAGCTGTCCCTCAGGACCGTTCAACAGCTGGACAGGGAGCTCCGGTCCAAATACATGCTGAGACTGGGGCTGTGCTGCAAACTTTGCTTGTCCCCTGAGCACACGGTGACAGAATTGGCCCTTCTCACCATCCACGTCCTGGACCTCAATGACAATGCCCCCCAGTTCAGCCCCACCAACCTGTCTAGGATGAGCCTGGAAGTGACCACCAGACTTAAGTCTGAAGTCTATAGGGTAAGCGCAGAGGACGCCGACCAGGGCACCAACTCAGACTTGGTCTACTTTGCAGACCCCATCAGCAACTATTTCTTTGTGATCCCTAAAACGGGCCAGGTGGTGCTGGTGGAGTCCATTCTGAACCTCAGAAAGAGTGTCAACTTGACTATATTTGCCAGGGACCATGGGCAGCCTCCTCTGGTGAGTGCTCCCTTGGAAGTGGAGATTTCCCCCAGGATGAAGAAGTTCGGTGCTGTGGATAGAGAAGAGGTGACTAGACTGAAGCGATCCCTACTAGTGGACTCAGCTACACCATCCACTTCTGAGGATACTACCGGTGGCTCCTTCCTGGAGGTCTCGAGTTGTAAGCCTTCAGAAGCAAACAAAGACAGCCTAAAACGATCCCCTGTCTCACTGGACTCCTCAGCTATACCTTCTCCTGGTGTCACCACTGTTGAAGCCTTTTTGGAAGTCCAGCACATGCTGAAACCTATTGCTGAGGATACCTCAACTGGTTCCCTTTGGATAAGAAACCTTCCTATAGCAGATATAGGGGACATGCAGAGACCTAAACGATCTACTTTCATCCCACACCCCTCAACCACCCATGAGGACCCAACTGATGGCTCATATGCCACCACCATGGACGTGGAGCCCTCTCCAAAAAAACAGACCTTCTCAGCTATGGAAAGACCTAAACATCCCTTAATGTCATCAGGCTCCTCTGATGTGTTAGTTGTGACAGATACAACTGTGGGGTTTCCTTTAGAAGTGGGTATCCCCTCAAGGATAAACGACCTTCCTATACCTGACTCCTTGACCACTCATGGGGGTCCCTCTGATAGCTTAGTTACAGCCATCATGGAAGTGGAGCCCTCATTAAGAATAAAGACCTTTTCAGCAGAAGATAAAGACACGGGCAGACCAAAAGGTCCCTTATTGTCTTCACACCTCTCTTCTGGGTCAGTTCCTGAGGGTACCATGGTTGCCAGTAACTTAGAAGTTGAGGTCTACCCCAGGGTCAAGGAACTGTCTGTAGCCGATAAAGAGGAGGGTACATGGGAGCAGAACAGGTTGAAGCGGTCCCCTGTGTCCCCAGATTCCTTCTCTGCAGTGTCCATTCCTGAGGATACCCCTGCTGGCTCCATCATCACCACCTTGATGTCTAGGGAACTCCAGTCCCCTTGGTATGAGCTGGTATCTCCATCCCCTGAAGACTCCCCTGTTGCTGTGAATAGGAATAATGGGGACGTGTTGCTGATCAGCACCTTGGACAGGGAATCTCAGGACAGCTACGAATGTCTCATCAAAGTGCAGGAGAGAGCTGGTAAGAGGCCCTTGGTGAGTCCTATAGGACTCGTTTATATCATTGTCTTTAAGGATAATCAAACTGTATGATTAAAATCTTTTATTAGATTGTATAACATCAGTATGAACAGAGGCTACCCTAAGGCTTTTTATATAAACCATACTGTCTTAAAGAACCTATGCATAAGAAAGTAGCAATTTGCATGGAAATGCATGAAAGTATTGAATATTTAGTACAGCAATGTACCTGTATGGAATCATATTTTTTAACCAGTTAAAGGGCCAGTGTGCTGAAAAGTGATGTTTCTGTTCTAAGTGTAGTGTGGCAGGCATGGCCACCCTTTGGGTCCTTACCTATATCTCGGGGTCACCAGTGGTGATATCGCCTTCTATGCTTTCATGTAGTTATGTTAAAGCAATACTAAAAATGTATGAAATCAATACAATGCATCCCCAGAACCCCAAACTTGCTGTTTATCCAGAGGAACTATGTTACTTTTCTGTTGCTTGGATATTTTGGGTTGTCCGGCTGTAAGGTCCTGCTGACCTTTGACGGTTCTCACTCCTGCTGTTGTATTCTTATTAATACAGCATTCAAAATAGAGAGCGGGAACCCCAGGTAGTGGCCATAGTTGGTGTGCTGGTCCAGAAACCCAGTGCAGAGATCTCACCCACAGGGTCCCCAAGGCATAGAAGGGACGGTCAGGGGGGTTTAGCTGCCCACGAAATACTGAGATATCATTTTTAGACTGACCCTTTAAGTTCTGTTCTCTTCTGTGCCCGTTTGCATTATGGAGCCCTTAACATGTCTTTGAGTTGACAACAGCCAATACAGACACTGTGGTGAGATATACCAGAAGCATTGGTGTTCAATAAAAAAAAAAAAGGGATTCTGGATTAAAAAAGCAATGTTCGTTAATGCTGGACAGCTAACATATATAGATGTAATATATATAAAAGGAGCTGTTATGCCTACCAAAAGATTGTAATTTCTTTTCATCCAGTCCTGAGATTTACACAGCCCTGTCTGGCAGGCAGGAGACCAGATTTCTCTCTGCTGTAGTTTATTAACACTTGCAGGTCTTGTCCCTCCCACAGTCTGTGATTGGAGAGTAAAAGGGGAAGCAGCAGACTGATGAGATTGTCTCTCTGCTCTCACTTCCTATCACTGTGCTCCTGGTTCACACATGAGCACTACAGCTCCCTGCACTTCTTCTTGTTCTCCCTGCCTGAGTACTGCTATACAGGAACTATAATTCGGGTCAAGTTCAGGTTTCAATGCACTAATTGCATTTAAAAAAATACATTTAATGAGGTGTTAGTACAGAGCTGCATGAATGTGTCCTTTCTATCTGCCTGGAGCTCAGCTTTAAAGGCTAAGTTGACCATTCAGACCATATTTTATGTTACACCCATATTCGGGGGGGGGGGGCAGCATGAAACATGGTCTCATCCAAACAAAATTTGTGCTAGTAAGCTGTGTGTGTCTCCTTTCCTTTGCAGGGTCCTATGCAGCCACTGTTGTGTGTACTAGTAAGCTGCGTGTGTCTCCTTTCCTTTGCAGGGTCCTATGCAGCCACCGTTGTGTGTACTAGTAAGCTGCGTGTGTCTCCTTTCCTTTGCAGGGTCCTATGCAGCCACCGTTGTGTGTACTAGTAAGCTGCGTGTGTCTCCTTTCCTTTGCAGGGTCCTATGCAGCCACCGTTGTGTGTACTAGTAAGCTGCGTGTGTCTCCTTTCCTTTGCAGGGTCCTATGCAGACACCGTTGTGTGTGCTAGTAAGCTGTGTGTGTCTCCTTTCCTTTGCAGGGTCCTATGCAGCCACCCTTGCGTGTGCGGCTAAGGCTGAGTGTGTCTACACAAACACACAGACACCCTCCTCCCTTTTTTGAAGCTAGTAGACTGCTCTGTCCCTTGTCATCTCATACAGCACAGGAAGTTCAGAGAAGCTCAGCTGAGAGAGTTGGAGCTGTTCAGAAACATGATCACTGCAAGTGCAAGAAATCCTTTGCTGAGCCGTTTATATTTGTTCTGGATCTGGATTCATTATTGAACAAACTTTGAGGGTTTAATACGACTTTAAATCTCATTAACCTTTCCCTTGAGGGGGAGCAACTCTAAGCCTTTGCCCCGGGTGACAGAAGGTCTAGCTTCCCCATTGGGCGTAAGCACCCCTTGCACCAGTCGGAAATCTTCCTAAGGGAAGATGCCGGTGTTCTATGAAAGATTGTGACTGGGTTGAAATGTGTGACCGGTCATGTGGTCACACATTTTAACGTAGTCATGCCCACTTTTTCTGTGGTAAAATATGCAACCCACAAAATGTGAAGAATTCCAACGATTTTTCAGCTGTTCCAGGGCAGATCAGCATTGCAGATGGTATGTGCAGGAGAACTGATCTGCCCTGGAAAAGATGATCGGTCCTGAAATGTCACTTTTATCCGACTTTGTGGAATGTGAGAACGCAGTCACAAAGTCGGATAGAAGCGACATGGTGGAATATGTAAGTAAATCATCACTTGTTTGCCTGATGAAGGGGATCCTGTGAGACCGCGAAAAGTATTTCGTGTTTTGCATTTGCAACAAGTACGTGAATAAATAGACGTACTGGATTTGCTTTGGAGTGCCGGTGTCCATCCTTTACTTATGCTTTGACGTAAGCCACCCGTTGACACCTGCTGCACCCACTTCTTATCTCAAGGAGCAGCGGTCCTGAGTGTGATGGGTACATGGACTGTATGGTGGAATACGTGACCCGCAAAAAGTGAAGAACTCCAGCTGTTCCCGGGCAGATCGGTTCTCCTGCACATACCATTTGCAATGCCGATCTGCCCTGAAACAGCTGGAATTCTTCACTTTTTGCGGGTCACATAAAAAGTGGGCGGGATCACGTTAAAATGTGTGACCACGTGGCCGGTCACACATTCTACCGCTGAAAAACTGGGTAGGGTTAGGTTAAAATGTGTGATTACATCACCGGTTACACATTCTAACGCTGTCACAGACTTTGATGGAATGCCGGCGGTGGGGCTTTGATGTATATTCATAGGCCAGAGAAGGAAATATCCAGCCACTTAGAATAAAAAAAAAACTTAATGCATGTGTAGACGATGTGAATTTCTTCCCCCCTGATGCACTCTGAGGTACGCCGGCCCAGAAATATTCAGCACAATTCAGAATCACACGACGTTAACGGCAGATAAGACGCTAAAACGCATTCTCCTGTCTAATCTCCCTCCTACTTATTATGTATTTATTCTGCTTATTATGTATATATAACAAGCGCCTTTTCATTTCTGCATCTTTTTCTTTTTTTTTTTCACGCCTGCCGGAGAACGTTCAAAGGATCGACTACTTTGTCAGCAAAGTTATGTTTTTTTTTTCCGTGTTATGCTTGAGTTTGCTTTTAATCACGTTCAGGCGCCGAGGCTTATTTACCAGAAGTGCATTTCAGTGCAAATTTGCATTAAACCATAGCAACCAATCTTTGGCGCTCATTGTCTAATCTGCATTGGAGCGTGGCTTCGCAAAAGCCGCAGATCTCAGCTGCTGGCAAACTACAACTCGGAGCTCTTTTTTTTTTTTTGCAGGTTTTCCGAAAAATTGCCGCTACTGGGGAACGGTGAATTTGTAAGAATGGAAATTGGCAATGATCAGCTTGATGTGCTGCTTAGATTTCTTGAAAAAAAAATTCTTCTTGTCGTGGTGCCCCACAGTCCTATAGCATGGGTGCTTGCTACCTGTTACTTCACTCCAGGGATGTGCGGTCAGGGGAGGAAGAGCCTCACCTGGTATTATGGAGGAAAAAGCTGTCAGCTTCAAGTCTGGAGCTGACAGCTTTTTCTCCACTCAGATCGGCTTCTAGCAGGTTACACAGCAGGGAAAGCCTCCCCGCTGTGTAACCTATCATGGATGGAGCGCTGCATGTTAATTACAGGCGGCTCTGCATCCGGCTTTTGACAGGTAGTTAGGTTACACAGCAGCGAGCTTCCCCACTGCTTGTGTAACCTAACTTGGTGAGGCAAGAGCTGTCTCGGCCACTACTCTTTGTTAGAGGCGTGGGCTCTGTCAATGGCTTGGACCAATGGCAAAGCGCCATTGGTCCAAGCTGTCCTATCAAAAAAAGAAACGAAAAAAACACTGAGGCCATAGGGGCGGGACATGCTGGGGGATAGGCTGGGGAATGCCTCACCCGGAAACACAGGTACCGCACTTCACTGCTTCACTCTCTACTCTCTGGTCAGAAAGCAAATAAGTCAATGAAGGCTTCCTCTAGCATGCAGAATTTATGAGTGCATTTCTCTGCTTTCTCCCATTTATTGTTACATAAGTTGCCCAATAACAGGGGTGGGCAAACTCTGGCCCACCAGCGGTGGTGAAACATCAAATCCCATCATGCATCTGTCTCTGGGACACATGCCTGTTGCTGTGAGAAGCTTGCAATGGCTTATGGGATTTGCTAGAGGGCCTGACTTTGCTTACCCTTGCCCCATTCCTTATTGGTACATTATGTAATTGTGGTAGGGCCGGTTCCCACCAGCTCCAGTGCGTTCCAGCACAATTCGCTAATGGAGCGCATCCCGGCTGGCTTCCTGCGTTCAGGGGCGGGAGGGGGAGTGGCGGTGCATTGATCGCCCGCACAAGGACGCGTGGCACATCAGTGCTTGCATTCCGATGCAGTGCAATCTGAAAAAATAGTGCATGTCATTTATTAATTAACTCAGTAAGGAAATATAAAACTTCCTGATTGGATAACAGAGAGCTCATCGCTGTGCTCCTCCTTCCTTACCGCCCAGGCATAGACTAGGGGCAGGTCCATGACAGCCTGGACTTAGAGGATGGTGCTAGCCATCATTAAACCAGGAAGACTGAGGACATCTTGTGGCTGAAATAAGTACTGCAGGGCACAACTCTAGATTACAGCTAAAGTGAAAGCTTTTTTCATGTAGTCTTTACCGGGCTAACATGTTTATTTATATATCATGGAATGAAAATTAAAAATATTTACAAAAATCCTTTT